TCATTATCTCTAGTGTAGCTCAAATCAGGACATTTAGGAATTTATGACTGAAGAACTTTTCTGGTGTTGTGCAGGCTTAATTGCCAGCTATGGTTTCAGTTTTCCTTGCCGTTAGACTTTAGGACCCACAAGCTCTCTGTAAAATAACTAAACACTCAGGATGCCCTGGTAGAATGAAATCCAGAGAAGGACAGCTTTATTGAGATCTTTTTTTTGCTAGATTCTTTGTATATCAGCCAGACAAAGAGAAGCCTAGGAGCTGTAAGTTGAAGAGTAATATATTCCACATACAATGAGATAAGCTCCGGTAGGCATTTAATTAAAACAGCTGACAAAATGCCCAGACACATCCTTTTGGTTAATAGTTAAATGGTAAGGAACTACCTCCTTAAAAACATATCATTTTCATACTTAAAATAAGAATAAGTGATTTATATTCCGTATCCTGCCAAAACTGAGTCTAGGTACTCTGCAGTAATGATTCATAAGAACAAAGGGTCCAAAATAGGGAAAACACAGAGATGTGAAGCTGGTGGTGTTCACTAGTCACTAATTGTGATTATACAAAAGACCTATGCAGCCTTATATGTATGCAAATGATAGTTCAAGTGACAAATATATCTTACTAATGTAAGAGCTTGCTCTTATGAAAAGTCATACCACATAATGCCCACACATATATGTGCACACCCATTTTAGGACTGTTAGACCATTAACAAAATCCAGTGGGATGAAATCCCATAGAATTATCAACAGAACAATAATTGACAAAATAAATCAGCTGCAATGGCAATGAGAAGGTCACTATTGAAGAGTGATAGCTAATGGAGAAATGTTCCTTGTTTCTATAGAAACCATGTCTGCAACATTCAGGCACCCCCAGAAGTCTAGAGTGGAAATAGTAGGAAAGTAGTCAGTGAATGGTTTAGATAGCCCACCATTGCAGTGGGAGGAGACTCTTATGACACAGTGCTGTATTTGTGCAGAAGAGTATGTCTGCACCCCTCTTAAATAGTATAAGAACCCCTTGAAGAATTTGGCAGAAGCAGCTGTTGATCAATACCTCTCTGAACCTATAAGCTTCAGGAAGGGCATCATTGTTCCCCCTATAAATCACCCATACAGGTACAATCAATTGGACTATCAAGGACTAGGGCAGAATTGCCAGAGTATCTTTAAATCTGAAGAAGTTAAAACAAAGTGGATAGATTAATTGAGACCTTAGAACTAATACATGGTATTAGTTTCCCCTTATCCATGCAGTGGCACTGGATCACACCTCAGAGAATGGCTACCGCAGAAAATAGGAAATATTATATGAAGTGAGATAATATTGGCCAAGAAGTATAAATAGTGTACATTGTATCTCAGTGTTGTTTCTAACTTATAATTTTTATAATGTGTTATTATGTGGTAGTTAGTGTATGTCAATCACAAAAATCTAGACTGGAGCACATAAGAGTATTAAAAAGAGCCTCCGTGAGAAAGGCCATTAACACACAATACATGATTATAGTATAGAAGAAATGGGCAGGGAACATATAACCTGGATTTTGTGCAGAAAAATGGGAAAGTTGCAATCAAAATACTAAATTGAAAAAAAGCTTAAGAGGAATATGTCACATTTAACCAAAAGACATAATTATAATGACAAAAAGTAAAGAAAAATAGTTAAAATATCAAATTTGTGTATAATTCTGTATAAAACAAAAACCTCATAGCCTGACAATTTCCTTGAATGTCACTACATTCTGGAAACCTGGTCATATCTGTTCATATGGAACAAATACAAAACAAAAATGCCAATAATCTCAGCTTCTAGGATAATAAACCAAATAAATTTCTTTTTATCATCAAAAAAAGTTGAGTTTACAACCCAGTAACAGTGTTGGGAGCTTCAACCTGAAGACCACACACACATTCCTAATAACATTCCTTGATCTATTAATTTATATAGACACAATATAGAGTTTTGCATGCCAGCATACCAGTAGGCCCTTGAAATCTACTGTATTGTTTCATCTATTGGGTTCCAAGTGATGTTTCCCTTGTGAATTTCCATGAGATGTATGGTTATGAGTTTTTTCTTATTTGAAATTGTAAAATAAGAAACAAAAAAAAATGGAGCTTGGTTTAAGGTAGTTGAGGGATGGCTCTTAGTGTCTGTGGTAAAACTCATGGACTCACAGTTAAAGACTAATATACAAGCCAACATCATTCAGTATTTGTAAACACTGTTGGTGATGTAGCTATAAATTCACTGAAAGTTCATCAGAACAGTGTCACAAATATGTTCTTTTCTGCTGATTTTGCTGCTTCTTCTCATGAACATATACATAGGAACTATGACATGATTTTGTTTTTCTTATTATTAATCCATTTTAAAGGGATTTTCTCATATTGTCTCTGAGTGCTTCTATCATTTTTATGAAGTTATTTTTTAAGTTGTTCTCTTCTGCTTCATCTTCTTTGGGGTGTTCAGGTCTAGTTGGTGTAGAGTCCTAGATTCTGGTGGTGTCATTCTTGTCTTTCTATTGTTAGGTGTTTTCTTGTATTGCCAGCTTCTTATTGCTTCTTCCAGTGGGTGCAGGTAGAGTCTCTCTCTCTCTCTCTCTCTCTCTGCTACTCCCCCAGTGGGTTTAGGTGGGTCAGAAGTTCAGTGTCTGTAGCTCTGGGTGGTCCAAGCTCTCTAGGAGATCTCTCTTCAGGTAGGGTATTGGTGATGGGGGCCAAAGATCCGGCAGGCAGGGACTCAGGATGGTCCCCAGGGGATAGGTGGATCTCTGGCAGGGGCTTGGAGCTCTGGCATAGGACCAGTAGTGGGTGAATTTAAGAGCATTTTACACGCAGTATAGAAACTAGTTCGTGGCAACTTCCCATAATATGTGAATGTGATCCTAAGGAACTCTTCAACTAATGAGGGAGAAGGAACCCCAACTAATCATCTCATGTCCATAAAAAAAGCTTCCAGTACTGGGACTGGTTCCATCCAATTGAGATGTTAACCAAAAAAGTACCATGAAAACACACAAACAACCCAGGCTGTTGCTAAGGAAATAGGTTTCTCTCCATAAACTCAGCAAGGCTCCATTGTTGAATACAACACATGCAACTCACTGCACCCATGTTCAGTGAGGTACAGGTGGAGCATATGTAAAACCTTCACCCCCATATTCTAGTGTCTATGATGGAAAAAAGCATTCTGCAAGATACCAAAAGAGAAAAGTCAATATCAACCTAACCACAAAACCTTTGATCTATCTGCCTGCAACATAGTAAGGCAATGGTGGAACCGATCTTGGAAAAGTAACCAGCATTTGATTTGCAGAAGTGTTACTACTTGAGTTTGGTCATATACCTTGCACTGCTTGGATAATAAAAAAGAAGTCTAGAAACCCAAGGGTAAAACCAAATACTATTGATCTAAAATACGAATAAATGACTCCTAATGATATTCTGCCCTCCTCATAGATCAGTGGATTATGCAGTCAACCTTAGAGAGGCTTCCTTCCTTCCTCCTTCAGAAGATGGGAGCAAATACAGAAACTGACAGCTAGACGTTGGACACAGAGAACAAACTTGGGACACACAGCTCCAATGAGACGTCTCCATTAAATATCTCCCCTCATAGCTCAGGGAACCAAACAGAAAAGGAGCTAGGAGCTAGCAGAAAGAGGCCATGTCAACTGAGTAAAGCTCATATGAACTCATAGAGCCTAGAGCAGCAATCATGTGCCCTACATGGGTCTGCTCCAAGTGTTCAACACATATATGAAAACATTTAGTTAGGTACTTTTATGGGACTCCTGAATGTGGGAGGGAGTGGGTTTCTCCTTGTTCCTTCTCTTGAGGCCCTTTACTTCAGCTGGCTAATGTTGTCCAGTTTTGATATGATGGTTTTGTTTTATCTTAATATATTTTATATTGTGTTTTTGTAGTTGTATCTCAGAAAGTTGTTCCTTTGAAAGGAGAGACAGAAAGGGAGTTGGTCTGGATGGCAGGGGACGTGTGGAGGCCCTGGAAGGATAAAGGGAGTGGAAACTTGTAGTGAGATAGTCCTTCTGTGGCACTGACCACGCCCATTGTGGGGTGGAGCCATGGGCAGAAGTGACTTGTGAAGGGAGGTCGGAGAGAGAGCAGGGAAAAAGCTCTCTTGCTGGCGTGACTCGGACAGGAGAGCATCGGGTTGAATTTCCTGGTATTCATCTGTCTAGGTTGTAAGTTATTTCTCCCTGAATAAACATCTATTCGGCCTATTTGTTTATCCTGATCCTCATTTAACCACGATAGAAACTCTTTTCAGATTATGTAGTGTGAGAAAAACAATCTATGTTTAATAAAATGTGAAAAATACTAGCAAACAAAATTCAAGACCATCTCAAAAACATCATTCATTTTTAATTGATTTGGGTATGAGGTGAAAGACATGAATCACAATTACAGTCTAACATGGCTAGTAGAGCTCCCTGCCTTCCCAGACATTGTTGAGGACTGTTGCTACAAGGTTCAGAACAGCCAAACAGTATTTTTTTTCCTGGAACAACAAATTATCACTGAAGATGACTTCTGAACCAATTTTGGGCTAGAACAGCTGTCATGGGACAAGGGCCATCTGAAGCACAAATTTATAGCCAGCCATGGTTTCTGTTTGCCTTACAGTTAGAGTGCAGTATCCATAAGGTGTCTTTGCAGCAGCAGCCAAAATTACCCGACAGGATGAAAGCCACAAGAAAAGCAGCTCTACTTGCAACTTCGTCAATAGCTTCTTTGCACATCATCTGGGCAAAGGAAAAAATGCTACTATCTGAAAGTTAGAGAGTACAATGGGCCAAACACAGTATGAACAGCTATATAGGTTACTAATTTAACCAGCTGACTACGCTCCCTTACTCACTTTGGTTAGTCATAGAAAAGCAAGGCGCTACATCCCTAAACTTTCTGTATTGATTTCTTTGGGTGCTAATTGAGTATGCAATTTGATATTGTAAAATGCTTATGTTTTACATACTTATAATAAAATAAGGAGATAATTTTTTTCTTATCCAGGCCAAACTCAATCTTGACACAATGGAGTAGTGACTCTTAAGAACAAAGGGTCCAAAAGAGGGAAAACACAGAGAAGTGAGGTGGGTGATGTTCACCAGCCACACATTTTGATTATACAAAAAAGCAATGCAGCTTCGCAAGATGGTAGAAAGAGTATAAAAAGCCAGAAAGGTAGACACCAGGACAAGAATGTTTTGAGTGGCCCTGGACTCAGGGAAGTCTCTACTGGAACTATGAGAACTACAGATGTATTGAACCCTCTGCTTGTGTTTGTGCAGAATGACAACCATGGAGGCACTGGACCAGGCAATGAGCAGAGAAAAGAAGAATTCAGGGCACATTGCCAATGTTGCATAGAGGGATTCGCTGATTTCATCATGCCCTACAATAGAGCAGTATCCAAAGTCTCGTTTTCTTGTCTCATTTTTGCTATTAATTTTGGTAAATGGGTACATAAAGAAAATGAAATTTATCAACATATACAAGACCCAGAGCAGGGAAATAGAGCAGCTGATATACTTAGCAGTTTTTACTTTATGGTATTTCCAACAGGATTTCCTGGGACTGATGGTCATGACCTGGAAGACGCTCAAGAGGCAGGTTGTACAAATGGACAGACTTCGGCTAAATCCTTGAATGTACAGTAGGATCTTGCATCCAAAATTATTCAAGAACTTCTTCATTCCCCATACTGCCATGGTTTGGGGTACCCCTGCTGAGAGAATGATCAAGGCATTGGCTGCCATTAGGTTCAAAAGGATCAGATCTGTGGGTTTTAATGTGCTTTCTCTGTAGTAAAGGATTAGATAGTAGAAAATTAGAAAGAAATTTCCCATAATTCCAATGGTAATTTGTGATAAGAAAGTTATTCTAATCGCCAGACTCCAGAGGTCCATTCTGTGATTCAGCACAAATTCTTTTAGAATTCAGCCACAGTACCACTCAGGTCTAATGAATAATGACAAATGACTGTATCCTGGGGAGAAGGAAGACACCATTAATCCATGGAGCTACAGAGAGGCTGAACAGAGGGTCATTTATACTCAGGATTTCAAGAACAGCCTTGACCACATAGAAAGACCACATCCCAACAATTTTGAAAGGAGTAGTTACTTTCCATGTGTGTTACTGTGTGATTTCTCAAAACCTCAGAATGCACACACTGATGGAAATGGAGCCGTGAAGTTTCCTAGAAATGAAGCACTTGGGATAACAAACTGTTGACCTGTGAGAAACAAGGAAGAGTGGCAGGCAGTATAAACAAACATAATGTAAGACTTTCAGAATGTACTGATATTTGCTACTCATGTTGTAAAAGAAATCAACCTCAAAAACAACCACAATGCTTACATAAAGCGATTCATTTTTCCAACATCATATTTTCTTGATTATTTAGAGGTTTCATATAATGCACACTAATTTTCACTTCCCTGTCTTCCTGTGTCCATCCCTGATTCTTTTGACCTCCCTTAAAGAAAGAAAAAATAAAGAGAAAAAATACCAAGTCCAATTTGTGTTACCTGTATACTCACTAGAACACTTCAGTTGCTTTTTTAATATAAAGTAATTCTTTAAAAAATACATTTGCTAGTTGATTTTATATCCAGACTGGAGTTTCTCCTCTCTCTCCTGACAGTCCCTTCCACTCATGTCCCTCTGTTCTCACCCCATCTACCCCTGCTCCATTGCTCTTTAGGAAAGGGCAGGTCTCCCATGAATATCTAGAAAACACAGCCTATCAAGTTACACTAAGACCAAACACTTCCCCGTCTATTAAGGCTGGTCAAGGTGACCTGTACATCTCACCTAAAATAAAGAGACAGTAATGAGAAATGTTTACCATTCAGAATATTTCGACAGTATTGTGACAGGCCAAAGGTTCCCGTGTCTTTTCTCAGCTGAAGCCATTTTTGATTTAACCAAACACTGATTCTCCCTTTTGAAACCACTCCTTGAAAACTCTCCTGGGAAAGTGCCTAACTCTATTCTAGACAGTATGGGTTAAAGTGCCCCTGATAACAGTAATTAATTTTCTATATGAAAAAAATGCTTGCTTGCTTTCCTTTCCCCTGTCAATTGCCATCCATGATGTTGATTTTCTGAATTTTTGCCTTTATAAGCGCCATGTAAAATATATTTCAAGCTGCTCTGTGAGAAGTGTTTCTCCAAAGGCAGCCACCAAGCCTTCTAAACACAGACTCTGAATATAAATTTTGTTCAGGCTCAGTGATCTTCGGTTCTTTATCCCTCAACAGTCTTAGATAAGAAAAATTTGTTAAAAGCATAAAATATATTACAATGATGGTTCAAATGATACCCTATGTCATATTAAGTTATAATCAGGCTCTTTTGAAAAGTCACACCTCATAGACACAAATACATGTGTGTGTGTACACCCAGTGCAGGACTGTTGGAGAGAAGGAGACATCTGGTCTGATGAACTCTCACATCATGTACAACAAAATAAAATTAGGCAAATATGATCATAGAAGTTTCAAAGATAAGAACAAAATCTGATGAGTGATAGTTACTTGAAAAATGTTCACTGTATCTATTGAAACTGTCTGGGATAAGCACGCACCAGTCAGAAGTATAGAGTGGAAATGATAGGAAAGAACTCAGTAGGTTAGAAAGCTCATCAATGTAATGAAGTTGGAGGAAACTCTCTGGACACAACACTCCATTCTTGTAAGAGAAAGTATCTGCAAAACATTCTCAGATTGGGTGAGATCCACTTGCAGGAGCAGGCAGTAGCAGCTTTGAATCAGCACCATGCACTTTCAGCCCTAGGGATGTTAGTGTTGCCCCTCATGTTCATCAAACATGTAGGGACAGTCGGTTGGACAATCAAGATCTAGGGCAGAACTGGGAGTGAATCCTGGGATCTGAAATCATTTAAATAGTGTGGGAGATAAGCTGAGACCTTAGGAACTATCAAATGCAATCTCTATGTTCCTATGCACTGGCACTGTAGAACATACTAGGGATTTGCTACAGCTGAATGTAGAAACTACCCTGTTAATAGATGCAACACACACACACACACACACACACACACACACACATACACACACACACAGAGAGAGAGAGAGGGGGGGGGAGAGAAAGCAAGAGAGAGCAATGTCTCAAGTGTGATTTCATAGCTGTTAAATTTTAGAAATGTGTGTTTATGTGGGAGTAAGTGTGGGTAGAGACCAGGAGACTTGAAAGGGACCCATAAGAACGTCTCACAGTAGGGTGGGGATGGTAAAGCAATATATGAGTTTTGAAAGTGAAGGAAGGAATAATGCACATGGGATAGTATAAACTTGGACAAGGGAAGAAATGTGGGAGCAGGGGAGGAGTTGGGCAAATCAAAACAGTAAGTATGAAAATGACTTTAGGGAACTTGCTGCTTTGTAAGCCAATAAACTATAAAAGAACACTAAACAAATAAAACAAAAGAAAAATCAATATAAAGTGAAGGAAAAAACTGTTGAAAACATGAAGTTTGACCATGCTCATAAAATAACCAAGAATCCCATGCTCTGCAACTGTCTGTGAATTTTTAGAAGGGCTGCAACTACTTAAGTGGATGAAACGTAACTCTACAAAATTCTATTCAATAATTAACTATTCTGAGAAAAACGTATAATTGCAATTTGTGTTATAGAAGGTACCTTTTAATAATCTGTACTTCATCTCTTTAATTTTTGAAATAAAATTATAAATGCATAGCCTGTCTTTCTCCCTCCCCCAACCATTTCCAAGAATCCATGCAAATGTTTATTCTCAAATTCTTGGCTTCTATGTATTTATATTTAAAAATCTCTTCAGTCTGTATGCTACTTGTAGATACTTGATTACAGTGTTCACCACTTTATGCTGGATAAACAACTGGGCCTACTTTTTCCTACTCACCACAATTCTGCCATTGTTTTTAGCTCTAACCCCTGAAGAAAAATCTTTTCAATGCAAAAAAGTAGGCTATTAGAAAGCAAGGCAAATCAAAAGGCATAGGAAGGAGAAATCACACCTGATCAAAATGCAGAAAACACCTTACTGTGTTGTAGAAAACCACAGTTGTTCACCCACAATGCAATTTCTACACTCAAGATGTGTGGAAAATTACAGTAGAGGAGGCTGAAAGATTGCCGGAGGAATACATTTCTGCTGTAAGAATGCATTTCCTAAAAATGTTGGGGAAGCTACAGCCATGAAGTTTCAATGTGGCAGCCTATAAAAATCTGAACAATCATGCCAATGGGCAGGGTAACATGGAAGGTGAAAATCCCATTAGACCTCAATAATCCTACTTTTAAGGATAACCATATCCCAAATGATGTGGCAGACTTCAATGATCCCCCTAGAAAGCTTCTCCCTCCCTGGAGAGTGGATGTGGGGGTAAGGAGGAGTTGGGAGGGGGAATGGAAGGATGGGAGGAAGAGAGAACTGGGATTGATATGTAAAATAAGATTTTTTAATTAGTTAATTAAATAAATAAATAAGAAAGCACACAAAAAAGAATAACCATACAAATGAGTTTACTTTTCACACCATCCAGTAATAATCAAGGGAGTATTGACCTTCAGACTATCCAGACATGCCCAATGACAGTCCATCATCAATTAATAGATACACACAAAGCAGAATTCTACATACCAGTTCTGGCCTTGAGAGATTCCATGTCATCTCAGCCACGGGGCAAATGGGTGACTGCTGCTGGTGCTGGTGCAAGGTCACCATGAACAAGAGACCACATAGCAACAAAGACAGATATGAGCATTGGTGATTGCACAGTGGGGAAGAAGTATGTGGAGAGTTTGCTGTGCTGAAGAACCACCACACCATGGCCGATAGCCTGCAGGAAGAAGAGGCTGAGATTCATTTGACATCAAACATTCAGCATAACTATGTGGACAAGTATCATCGGTGGGTGGCTGAGCAGTGGGAAGAGGAAGATCTAAAAGCCCAAACTCAGTGTCAGAAGTGTTACAAAGACCTTAGACAAAAATACTGAGTAACTGACCAGGAAATCAGGAGAAGCGGGCAATGGAGTATAGGATAAGGCATTCAGGAGTGAACAACTGAGGATCTAGTAGGTTTTTTTGGAATAATAAATAGACAAATAAACTGGAGGGGGTGGGTGGGCTGTTACATGAATTAAAAAAAAAAAAGAAAGCACATTCCAGATTTCTCTGGACTTTGGAGAAGTTGGAGAAATGGAGCCAACAATGGAGGAAACAAAGATGTGATGGAAGGAGTGATAACGTCTCTACTCTAGCATTACTGACCTACAATGCGCAGGGAAAAGCATCATGCTGAAACTCAATTAGCCCAGAAATTGAAACAAAACAAAAAGCCAAAAACTCTTGCAAATTAAGTCACAAGGAACCCACAGAGTAAGAAAAGTCAGTCTCAGACAAAGGAAAAGCAATCAAGTGAACACAGACCAAGTCAAAAGACAGCGAGAACATGATGTTCTAAGATTTGCAGGACATCTCAAACACCACCCGAGGGTCTGGATCATAGCCACTTTTCAAACCAGCATAATGCCACTTGTCACATCTAAAAATCAGAGTTCCCTCGTGACAGATTCCACAACGACTATTGATTCTAAAATTCTGCCTTGAAAAAATGGTCTTTCTCTAGCAAATATGACTGAAAGATACAAAATGCACTCCACATTTGTTGTTTCCCTTCTGATAGCCTTTTCTGGAGTTACTGTCAAGTGTTTTCTGAACTATAACAGTTTTAGACAATTTTGGGAAGGATAATTCCATGTACCAGTGCTTAGGAAGACAAGAATTCATTTCAAAAGCTATATGTATGAAGAAAAACCTCAAACTGTACAATAATTGTCAGAGTGGGATTTTCTTTATAAAACTCACACAAGGAAAATTTGGTCTAACCCCTTAAATATTAC